AAAAGCAAGATTTATGATTCTAAGCTAATAGAATCATTGAAACATATTGTACATTATATCAAAATTGCAAGTGATTTTGATAAATAGTTCAAAAAAATATATATAAATATAAAAATAAAATTATAAATATAAAAATAAAATTTAGTATCAAACTGAAAATTTACATGAAAAAATATTCTATTTTATAAATATGTAAATATCTTTATATTCAGTAACCAAATTAAATAATTTTATATTATCAGATTCACCAAGTTAAGATCATATAATTTGGATCACTAGATACAGAAATATAATATCTCAAAAATACTGTACAAAAATCAGGGAAAAAAATATTTTAAAGAAAATTTTAAAGAAAACCATTTTTGCAAATATCTCTGCATTCAGTAGACCAAATTAGATGATTTTGATATCACTAGATTTACATAAACAAGACGAACCTGATGATATCAAAATCATTTAATTTGGTTAATTGGATGTGGAGATATTCACAAAAAACTATTTTCTACAAAAATTTATTCCAGTTTGATACATTATCTTTGAGACATGATATCTCCGTATCTAGTAATCCAAATTGAATAATTTTGATATCATTAGATACGCCTTAACTTGAAGAAATTGTACATAAAATTTATTTATTTGATTTGCTAGATGTGAAGTTATTTGCATCTTTGTAGAATATTTTTTTTCGTATAAATTTTTGGTTTGATACTAAATTTTATTTTTTATAATTATATATATATTTTGAACTAGTTATCGAAATTACTTGCAATTTTGATAGAATGTACAATATGTTTCAATGATTTTATTAGCTTAAATCATAAATCATGCTTTTTTATTGTATTTGCATTATTATATTTTAAAAAGTGTTCACAATATTCTGGGAGGTCTCTGTAGTTGAACATTATTGCAGAATTATGGGATTTATTGTTACTACGGTAACAGTACTACTATTTTGAACTTTCCTAGCACATCCTCAATTGGCATATTTTTATTGGATTCTAAAGGATATACGTATAAATTTTCCATTAAATTGTCAGTGCTAACAATTTGCATACGATTAATCTGTATTCTAACCTACGCCATTTAAGTAACACGGACACACGATATCATATCTTCGTGATGCACCAAAAACATAAACGAGCCAATGCATTACAAATCAATAAATTTCTTTTATTCAGTTGATAACAACAACAGGTTTATTTGTATATTATCTGGAATTGAAAAGTCAACAACTTGTTCAGAATTCACAAAGATACTAATCATATATATCACATGAGGTTGTGGATGAAAAACAAAATACAAGCGAATAAATTTATCAACTAAATAATAAACTAAAATGATGCTTGCTAAAAAAATGTTATATTTGAATTCTACTGAGGGGGCTCAACAATCGTGGCATATCCTCGAACCTGATCCATTGGCAGATCTTCGAACGCCACTATACAAGTTTTGCCTTTGAGTTTTGTAAAATCGAAAGTGGGTGAAGTTATAATAGTTGTAAAAGGAGCATCAATTCGGGGTTTGAGATACATGTCCAGATCCAAGAAAACTTTGTTTTGATCATTAGGGTCATCAACTACATGGACATCATAGTTGATCGATTCGGGTATGTAGTTGTACCAATCGGGATAAAGAACTGTATTAATTTGACCGTCGAGCCACACAGAACAATCTGTTTTTTGTTGGAATTTAATCTCACCCAGAACTTGGTGATCTGGTTTTCCGAAAGGTGCAAATAAGCAATGATAAGTTATTTGAGGGCATACTGCTCTCTTTACATTCATTTTTGGCATGGCATTGACCGACGAAGAGAAGACAAAGGCGAAGAAGATCAGAGCAACCAAGATAAACATGGGAGAGGTCTGTTTGTTCATTTTCGTTTTGACTAATTTACTCAGTGTTGAATGTGTAAATTGACTAATTTACTCAGTGTTGAATGTGTAAATTGACTAATTTACTCAGTGTTGAATGTGTAAATTGACTAAATTACCCAGTATTGAATGTGTTGAGTGTGAAATGTGTGGTCCTTTTATAGATGTGAGAAAAAAATACTTTGTGTTTGTTCACCTTTTGCTAATTTTAAATATCACTCAAATGGTGATTTTTTACGATAAATCAGGAAAAGGATGACTATATAGTCATATTGTACATGATAACGATAGTTCCAAAACGACCACAATGATTTTTAATATACTGATAACAATTCTCTTTTATTCACTAACGATAATACATGTACAAACTTTGACTTTTGTAATACATGTACACGGTATTGTCTATCTAGAAAAATATTCATTGAACCTAATAATAGCGATAGTTATCGTTATACATGTACATAAAGTGTGCAACAAGCTTTACTGTTACTGCAAAACATTACACAAACTTGTTGATTCAGTGCGTCAAATCATTTTATGACTTTATGATTTATACTGGATATAGATTCATTTTTTTGGTAATATCTATCCGGGTTATGGATTCGGTATAGAAAGGTAGAGTTGATTTTGCACAGCTGAAGGTTTTTCTATTTGAAAGTTTTCACCGAACACAATGAGCTAGTCGAATCAAGAATAGGAATTCGAAAATATTTTCGGTTGAGGATCTCTCCGATCTTCTTATCGATTTATGCACAAGAGGGAATTTATTAATGCGCAATTTGCTGAGTACATGTACTTGAAATGATTCAGGAGTCATTACCCCTGAATCTATTCTTTGAACAGGAGTAGGAATGTTATCGGTTTACTTACCTGATTAAACTTACTAATAATTGACTTAATTATTTCTTTTTGATCTCTTAATCAAAATTAATTAGCATAAAGTTTAAAAATTAGTTACTTATAATAAAAAATTTAATTATTTTGAAAGAAAATTAGTAATTTTACTTAAACCACTGGTTTGAACCATCAGTTTGAACCATACAATTTGAGAAATTTACTAAATTTTGAGATTATAATTTTATTAAGAACTATTAATTAACTCTACAGTTTATAATATTTTAAATTAAATTGCTTATTCAAAATTATAACAACTTTTAAATAAAATTACCAATTTCATCTAAACCACCTCCAAACCATCAAACCAAAAAAAATCACTAAACAGAAGGCATTCCGAGTTTCTCAAGAAGGTTTCACTCAATTTGAAGTTTAAAAATATGACAGAAAAATTACATCATGCTTTTCAATAAACTTACTCCTATTCATAGATGGATTAACTGAGTCTTATATAAACAGAACCAGGAATATTTCCATTCAAGTTTTCTCACCTGTTTATAGAGATCCTGCCAGGGGCTATGAAATTAATGATCTGATAAAACTTTTGTTTATTCCAATTCAATCAATTTTCAATAAATTAAGATCTCTTTTACTTTTCGTTTCAGAAGGGTTCGTGATGTCTTTGCACTCTAATGATGATTCACAGTACGGCAGAAATAAAGATTCTTAGTTTAAAGATTCTTAAAGATATTATTGTCGAACACTTCAGAAATAGCAAAAGATTAAGCATTATCAAATCAGTTGATACAAAAAAAAATTATTATATGAAATAGACAAAACAATAGATACAGTATTTTAAAATTTATTGCTTTTTCAGATACCTTGGATTAAATAATTATAAAGGTTTGCATATATTTCAACGTCAATTTATATCAATATGATCGCTTTAACCCTTAACGCTAAACTTATTTACCCTTCCAACTCAAGGTTTCCATACCGGTACTAAATGGCGATCTCTTGAAAATATCAATACTTAAGAAGTGCAGGTAAAAATGAATATTTCCAACTTTTGATTGTCTCGCTCATTGGTAGCTGAATAATCAGCGGTACTTGATGTTTTCCTAAATAAATGGATTAAATCCGTGTTCCGTCATGTATCATAAATAACTTCCAAGATCAGTTAGTTTTCTTACGATGTTTTGAAAATTATGATGCTTCTTATGTATGTTGACATTGTTTTTCTTTGACTAAAGGAGATTGTCCAAGTTAAAAAATGTTGCAATATGAGCATTCCAAACATTATAAATCCTAGATGAAATTTTGTTGGATACGATGCAAAAATCGAATCCATCTAAACGACCAAACAACCAATGCAATTTTATTAAATCGAATTACAAGATTCATTTGCATAAAAATGCATCAAAATATTATATTGTTCGGGCAGATACATAGTGTTAGCAAATGCCTCGTTTGTTTTATTAGTGGCATTAAGTGTGTCAGTTATTGCACGAATAGCCTTTTTTATATTAGCATTTACATTAACAGCGTCCGCGTATTATGATATGCTTGTCCAGTTTCGAGAAACTATGCGATAGACTGATGTCCTTCGGCTTACAGCTGCTTACTTAGTTTCCATGCTCTTTTCTGTCCATTTGTATTGTTCTAAATAAATTTTTTTTCGGACCGTTTATCTTAACTTTATTATAAAATGGCATATTTCTAATAAATAATATTTCGGAGAAACTCAAACTATTCGATACATGTATAATGAATTTCGGACTACGTAAATTCTTAAAACGACGTTGGCCATGCTCTACGACATTGATAATCAAATGTTTTAGAGCGCGTAATCGTGTCTTTTGTGCTTGTAAGTAATGACTAAGTAAAAATGTCAAGTGTCATGCAGAACATAAATGTGTTTTCATTATCCGCAAAAATAACGTTAAATAAACTAAACTCAATGACAGCAACTACTGAAACTTGTTAGTTATTATCAATAAAAATACGACAGTTTATTTACTTTTAATAAATAAGATCGAGTAATCCAATCCAATTACCAATTATCCGGGATAAATTATATATTACATTTTTTTACATAAAAATGATACTATTTAATTAAACAGAAATTATTTTAATAAGCAAACTATGTCAAAAGGGGTTTAAAAGCTAAATTAGAAGCATAACTAGGATCATTGTAAGCATAGTTGTGATTAGACGGAACTTGCGTTGTAGCAGTATGTTGATTCGCAATTTGGGACAAATTGTGATCAAACAGAACTTGTGTTGTAGCAGTGTGTTGATTCACAGTTTGGGGCAGATTGTGATATAACACTGTATTGGATTGTGGTTGAGATTGAGGTTGCAGTATATTATTATCAGTAGCAGTTTGTTGATTTCTACGTCTCTTACGATAAAAACATATAAAGCCTATCGCTATAGCAAAAACCGATGATACTGTTGTTACTGATATAATTATGACTTTATCTCGTGATGTTAAATTTTGTGACGTTGGTGTTGTTGACGCTGTTGAAGTTCCTGTTGATGTTGAAGTTGGTGGTGTTGAAGTTGGTTTTGTAGTAGTAGGTATTGGACACTTTGTGCTTTTTCTTTCAATCCACTCAGTAAAAAGATTTGTTATGATTTGAGATTCAACAGTTAGTACATTTTCAGCAATATATCGATCATAAATATCTGTTATTTTTAAATAATCCTCACTACACAAAATCTCATCCGGAACATCATCGTTTAAGGTGCTATTCGAATCTTTATACCTGAAATAGATTTTTAGTGTAGGTGGGAAAAGATTGTAAATATCCCCAATAATTGTTCTATTTGAGGGATCACGCTTCCTTCTGATATATTCAATTTCAAGGTCATCGATGTCACGCCATACATAAGAACCTAAATTAATGAAAAAGAGGTTTATCGCTATACTATAAACTACTATCCAAAGCATTTTAATGTAACTTTATTTACCAGAATTACTTGAGCTCTTTAGACAAAGATTTTGATAATCAGGAACAGCATAATAATAGCTGTAAAATAAACCAAAAACAGAATTATCTTGACTCGCAATCTCTTTGGTACAATCTTTTTGAATCTGTTGATATCCTTTAATCGAGACATTCGATGGACAAGGATTATCCAAGTTACAAAATTCTGTATTAATTGCTGAGTACTTTGCATTAGGCGTTTTTGCATATTTAGCATCAGCAAATCCTTTAAATCGACCAGGTTGATCACAAGTCGTCGCGGAAGTGAGGTTACCAGGGACCGAAGGAATGGTGAGTTGATAGCGAGTTGTTTGGCAAGGAGTACATTGAGCTACTTTAAAATATGTTGGGCAATCAGCTAAAGCAACATATTTTGAATTCAATAAGAATAAAGTAAAGACGAACAAACAATGTTTGAAAATCATTTTGAAAAATCAATAAGAATCCTGAAAAAGGTTCAGCTCTTTGCTTTATACCATTTAGAACATATAATTTTAGGTATTCATTGTATTTAACTTTAGAAACTCTGTCCCAATTTTATCGCCTTATTTACTTAGCGTTAGCCCCGTATCCTACGTGAGTACATTTAATTCTCATTTTTGTTACAGCACAATCACAATCACTGTCATAAAACCGGAGTGATTCACGTTAAGTACAACATTTATTCTATAAAAAACTATACATGCATTAGCTTTCTACAAACACTATTCTGTAACAAAAAATTTGCATTTTGCATAAACCAAGTACATGTACCCTAAAAAAGCTTCGATCACGTGAATCCGATCACATCTGATATCACCTTAAAGTCATGCACCAATTAAATCGCAAGATTAATTGAAATGCAAAAAATTGAAACAAATGCATGTTTTTGAAAATAGCTTGTATCTTGAAATTTTACTTATGAAACAATCATTTGTGTCCTAACAAAAAATGCTCCTTGCGAAAGTTTATTATATATTATGCTCACGTTTATTATATAATAACCTTAACCCTAACACTAAACGAAACCCTATTTAATATTATACATTATGTCGAATGGTTGGTGTCGGAATCGCGTGAACGACACTTTTTTCACCGTGGCTAAGGTGCTAGCATAAACCAATAAGTATACCCATACATAAATTTTTGATCAACCCGGAAAAACAAATCCGGCACAATAAAATGATAAATGTGAAAACATATAAGCATAGTGCACTATAGACAATGTCTGGGAGACAATTTTACATAAAATATTGACCTCCACCCTAATCCTGACCCTAGCCCTGGCTGTCCTGATATTACAGTAGAATTTTTTCGCCCTTAAAGCATCTTAGATCGTACACTTTTATAAATGTCTAATACGAGAACTTCGATCACCAAATGGTGATTCGCCTGTTGAATCTCGTACATAATCACACCCCAAAACTATAAATATCTGCAGTTTGAGCGTATGGCTTTCCATTTAGTATCTCTGGACTCGTATAAGGAAGAATTCCGCAAATTGCTTGATTGTATTTGTTTATATTTGTTGAGCTGGTAAGTCCAAACTCAACAATACCAGATTGATATAAAATTGAATTCATTATTAATGTATTTCCAGGGTGAAAGTCACGATTCATTAATTCCTCTTACGCAGATTAAAGATAGTCAAATATAAACGTGTTAATTTTCTTCCAATTTATTCTTTCGTAGTTAGAATTAATGTTTTGCAAACTCTAATGAAATTTGTTTTAAATCATGTAATGTTTTCAACACACTTCTTGTTATAAAATATAAATCGTTTAAATTTAATTTCTCCATGATCTACTTGTAAGGATACTTAATGTTCCGTCCAACCAGGTTGCTTCGTAAGTTGTTCTGAGCCTTCCTTTTGCAGGATATTCAATATTGATGAATCTTTCAAAAGAAATTCATGTAAAAGGTCTAATTTTTCCACATTCTTTTAGTCTATAGATTTCTTTATTTCGCAGTAGTCACCGTTTCGATAACAAAAACATTCACTACAATTATCCCATCTTTGAGTTCACTTTTTAATGATTATCTTTATGTACTGTGTTTTATTTAAACTTTAAAAATAAACGATTTATCCCTTTATCATGTACATGCTACCCAACGACCGTAATACAGTTAAAGTTCGATAAAGCGAACCCTTGATAAAGCGAACTCGCGTTAAAACGAAGAATTTTCAGGAACGAACCTATTAACAAAGAGCTTTACATAACAAAAAATAATATAAATAGTACTTTATAACGTTAAGCGAAACTTATTCTTGAATAACCGAGACCTTCGGTTTATCGAACTTTAACTGTACCCTAAAAAAGTGTCAATCACGTGATTCAGATCACTTAATTATAATGCATAACGATAATACATGTATTAACACACGATTTGTCACATGAACATATGATGTCGATCAATTCAAAATTCGATGTAATCGCATTTTCGAATTTTTCGTCTAGTCTCGGCCAAAGCACTCAAAGAGCCTTTAAATAAAATTGTTGCCTGGGTCTTCGCGAACAATCGATATATATAATGTGGAAAATAACGTCTCCTATAGAATACAATACCTTCGAAATCGGCGTCCATTTTGTTTACTTTTGCTTCTCCAGTTCGCAAATTCCATGAAGAGTGGTTCACTAGTTGCGCCTGAACGAGACTTTTGACAAAATTTTAAGGAGTTTCGGTTAGGGTTAAAGGATTATGTAGCAAACGGAAGCGTAATATATAGTAAAATTTCGCAAGGAACACTTTTTGTTAGAATATGAATGATTGTTTCATAAGTAAAATTTCAATATACATGTTACTTTTCAAAAGTAAGCGTTTGTTTTTAATTTTTTGCGTTACACATTGATCTTGCGATTTGATAGGTGCATAATTTTTAGGGGATATCGTATGGTCGGTATTTGGACTGGGAGCACGTGAGCGACACTTTTTTCGCCTTAGCTTGGATACTAGATGTACTGCTAATTATGTAATATCGAGATCGTTTCTTCATTAAATTCTTTGATGATGCAAAACAGATTTCGATTTAAGCACATCAAGAAATAAAAAAACCGAATAGATATCAAGTGTCTTATACAAAACAAAGAAAAAACGCTGTTCTTTGTTAGAAGAAAGGGTAACAACTTTTAAATTTTTGTTCATTCGCAATGGCTAAAAAGCGGTTTCTATTGTTTATTAAATTTTATTGTTAACACATACAGTTATAGATATATATTTATCAAAATTCATTGATTCTATCATTGGTGCAATTGTTAATACTCTTTCTATAACGAACTAATATGAAATTTAAAATTTAAGGTTCGTTATAAAGAGTCGACTGTATCCTTTGTTTAGCTCTATAGTTTTCATTTTTACGTATGCTTGAGAAATTGTTATTGTTTATTTACTGGATTGTTGATTTATGCAATCTGTGGCTATCTTTATAACGTGCTTCATTTTCATAAATCGATTTAGTTTATTATGCCTACATGCTTTGGATGTACGTGTTTACAACGTATACGCAATATCCGCAACTTATGTGTATAATTTCTGTTTAACCTCTGGACTGATATAAGGAGATACTCAGTAAATTTTTTATCTGCTAGACCGATAGTTCAATATTTGATAATATATTTGCAGGATGAAAGTCAAAGTGCACAAGTTCCTTTGTGTGAATTTTACACAGCTCTCGATCTCCGATAATATAAACTAAATGACTTAATTTTCTCCAAGTCAATTCTTCGTAATTGGAAGTAATATATTTGTTTAAACGGCCATTTTTGCACCCATTATTATTAAGTAATCATTCATACTGGGTTTTTAGTTATTCTATAAACTTATTCCAAAGTAAGATCACTGAACTTTAGAGCGGTCTGAATCTATTTATGACAATCTCAAGTTTATTAGAAAATAAAAAAAAGAATTCATTCGTCGGTACATATTCGACTACATGTATTATCGTTATGTATACACGTAAATAGTGTCTTACTACATGTACTCGTTGTTTGCATGAAATAGATAATACATGTAATACGTAATACGTACATGTAATAACGATAACGATAATGAGTCTCGAGTAAATTATGACAGTTTTACAACAGACGTTCTAATCTTTAAATAATGCATGTACATCAACATCTTTGGCTTCTACAATGAAAATCAAAGACAACGATGAATTTGACGATTCAAAGCTCCACGAAGGATTATCAAGAATTATTCGACGAATGTTTTCTTCCAAAAATGAAGAATTAAAGGATATAGCTTTAAAAATAAAATTAATTATCCATAATGAAATTGCTAGCACCAGCAAAACATCATTACTATCCAATTATAAATATGAGTTATTTGTTAATGTTTTTGGATCATTATGACAATTTGAAAAAAAATAGAATGAAAAAAGATAGTGAAACACTTGATTGGCATTTGAAATTAGCTGAAAACGGAGACGTTCAAATACAGCGCATTCTTGGTTTCTGTTATCAAAATGGAATCGGAACACAACGAGATGAGAAAGAAGCATTTGAGTGGTATTTAAAATCAGCAGAGGGTGGAGATGTTAGTGGACAACGTGTTCTTGACTGGTGCTATCAAAATGGTGTAGGAACACAAAAAGATAAGCAAAAAGCATTTGAGTGGTATTTAAAATCAGCAGAGGGTGAAGATACTGATGGACAAAATAATCTTGGTGATTGTTATCGGAATGGCATCGGAACACAACGAGATGAAAAAAGAGCATTTTAATTATCAAAGGTTAGAAGTACTGGAGTATTTAATCTTGGTATATGTTATTTTCACAGCGAGGGAACTAATATAGATTTACAGAAAGCATTTTTGTGTTTCCGAAAATCAGCAAAGTCAGAAGGTTGATGCTCATGATGCTCAGCATTTTCTTGCAGAATGCTATTTTCAAGGAAATGGAACAAATAGAAATGAGAAAAAAACATTTGCATGGTATTTAGGATCTGCTGAATCTGAGTTAAATACCTCAAATTCAAATTAGTTGAATGTTATCAATACGGATTCGGAATTCCAATAGATCTTGATATGGCATTAAAATGGTATCAAAAAGCACATGAAAACGGTCACGATCGAGCAGGAGAGCTTGTTGGGTCTTTTGATTTTAAAAAATTTACTCATATTTTTAAATTTTTAGTAATTTAGAATTCTTCTTGTATTACATAAATTTTTAGTTAAAAAGCTTTTTTAAATATGCGAATTTGATAGATGATGGCTAATATTCACGCAAACTTTCTAGTACAATTTCGTGATTATAAAAATGAAAAAATCAATAGATTAATATTTTCATCCAAAATTTTTTAATTTTGTTTACAAAATAAAAATTTGTTAAAAAACTATTTTTTACAGAAATCCTTATAAACTTGTAAACTTATTTGATAGTTTTACTATAATTATACGCAAATAAATCCAAGAAAATTAAAAACAAAATAAAACATCGTCCTAGTTT